TTTATATTAAAATGTTTAAAGAAGATTAGGCATGAGAGAAAGTGAGGCATCTTCCTCTTCTGATACAGTTAAAGAATCACAAGTTAGAGAACAGGATCATCTTACTTATAACAGAATTCAAATAATGGGTTCCATTTATGTATGCCATAGCTGTACCATGTATTTTTTTTCAAGTTCACAAGGATTATTATCTCTCGTTTACAATTCTATCACTTCCCTTCCAATATTATCTAATTTCCCATAGTCTGTTTTAAATTTACTGCTTTTTGTATGACTACTTAACTCTAGATGATGGACATGTGTTAAAACATAAAATTATTTTCATTCTTAGTCTGGTTACTTAATATGATGTATTCCAGATTCATCCCATTTATTGTATGTTTCATAATTTTATTATTTGTGGCCTGATAAAATTCCCATGGTTGTGCATGCACATGTCTCTGTGTGTCTATGTGCACACACACATACATGTCATTTATATGTTGATTGTTGTTTAAGATAAAATTAGCCTATATCTACTGCATATAGAACAGCAGTAAATAAGGAAGTACAGTTTTTTTATACACTTATTTCTACTGATGCTCAGGGAATCTTTTAAGAATTCAAAGTGAATGAAATAAGAAGCGTATTGCTCATGAAAATATGTAACTATTTGTCTCTATTTATAATGATATTTGGTATCTGTTTCTTATTTTCAGTTTGCATGCTTCTCTAAAATAATTTACTTCCTACAGAACATGTTAAGATACATTTCTCTTCAGGCATTGAATTTCAAGATTTCTAGCCAGAGTAATGCTCTCTACACAGCACTGCTTATTGGGGAAAGCAGTCCTATTTTTTCACTTATTGCTGTTTATTTTGACTTGTACAAAATGAAGGGCATTTTGAGAATACACTGAGAATTATGAAAGAAGGATAAATGGCTTAACATGAGCTACTTCTTAAACTAATAGGATATAAACCTTAATTTGTACTGAAATGTGGCTAGGGCTTTACTTTGAAGATCATATCCTAAACTATATGAGAATGCAATCCATAGTTCACTAACTACCTTGTTGCTTTCAGATTGCTTAACAATATGTTAGGAGACATATCTAGACATAGGAGAATTGTACACCTCTTCCCTTTGAAGGTAAAGATTCCTTTTACCCTGTAGAATCCTTTCTTTCTTTTCAGTTTTAGTAGCTAACCCGCTAAGTTATCAATAATTTAAGTCAAAGGGGTTATGTTGCTAGGTTTGAATCAAATGCTGCTTCCCTTTTGTAACTAAAACCCACAAAAATTCCATTTATCATTTATATTTTAGGTCAATGGAACAAAATCGAGCGCATTCTCCCCGATCATAATAGTCCCCTTTGCTCTTTCAACCATCATCTATGTCACTATTGATGATGTTCACCTAGCAACTAACATTTGGTGCTTTGCTTGGTGATTTTCTAAACATTACTTTATCTTCCACCATTAAATCAGAAACTTGAGAATGGCAAAGGTCCACCTTTGTTTCTTTTATAGTATATCTCTCAATATAAAAAAAAAATTGGATATTATTCTTTAATGAATTATACCCATCAAATTTCAATCACACAATCTAAAAAACACTCAGAAAAGAATTGCAACATGAATTGTAACGGCATAAACGAATGCAGATTATAAAAAAATATATACAGATTTAATGGAGAAATAGATTTACAGAACCACTGTTCCTGCGGGGACCAGGAAAGCAGAAGCAGCTGCTGGGAGCATGCTAGCCAAATTTATAGGCAAACATTAGTCCGAGGCGAACACGCCCCCTCTAGGGGCGGGACTTATCCCTACAATGAATTAGAGGGATAAACAGAGGTAGAGTTTCTCATTCATCAGAAAAGAGACTCAAGTTCAAAGACTTGCAGAGAAAAATGCTTAGATGAAGAAATAGACCATTGTCTGAAACACAGGTTAGGTTATGTATTGAACTATACACTAGACAGTTTCATACAGTTAAATTTGAGATGCCATTAAAAACTTTTATATTGATGTTGTTTATTTCTTTAATTTTGTCATGGAGCTATTTATTACAAGTCATATTCACTTTTTTCTTTCTTTCGAGACAGGATTTCTCTGTAGCTTTGGTGCCTGTCCTGGAACTAGCTCTTGTAGACCAGGCTGGCCTCGAACTCCCAGAGATCCGCCTGCCTCTGCCTCCCGAGTGCTAGGATTAAAGTCATGAGCCACCACCACCCGGCCATATTCACTTTTGAGGTAATTTTATCTCATAATAAATTTAAAAATTAAGAGTCCATCATATTTGGAAAATTATGGATCAGTTTTGATATATGTTGAAAAATCTAAGATTACCTATCAATAAGACAAAAAGGCAGCCTCTGATAGGAAAAGATCTTCACCAACACCATATCAGACAGAAGACTGGTCTCCAAAATATATAACCCAAAGAGAATGGCCCTCCATCTAGGTTATGCAGAAGGTGTAACAAAGACAGGAATTGGACTAACGAATGAAGATAAATAAGTGATAATCAAGGTAACACTTTACTATTTGGAAACAGGTTTAGGGGACTCTTACAGGCCCCAGTGCCAAATATGTCAGTCATTTCCTGCCAGCATAGAGGAAACTCTTTCCAGAGCAATTTAAAAACCTCAGTGCTATACTAGGAAAAGATACTGCTCCGGATGTTAGAAAAGCTAAAGCGAAGGCAAAAACAAATTCAGGAGAAATAATAAAGCAAGCATTTTGACAAACTTCTATAAATGAACAAAGACCAAATTTAAAATTGCAAACAAATAACATAGTCGTTAATAGTCTTGTATACACATGTCTGGATTTAACAATAATTTCACCAGAATCTTTCCATCCAAACTGTCCTCTAAAGGAGGTGAATGTTTAGGATTTTGGGATTGGAACTTCATCTCAAGTGAAATAGAGAGTAATATTGTTCAAATGCATAGGGTCAGAAGGACAAAGAGGAAAATTAAAGCTATATGTTGCTAAAATAACAATAATTTTTTGGGGGGAGCAAGTGATTTGTTATGGGAATGGAATACTAAAACTAGCATTCTCTCAATCTTAGAAGTAAGCCATAAATTAATATATGCTTCTGAGAAGAACATAAGAAGATATTATAAAGAACAGTCACTGACAATTCAGTTTATACAAGAACAGGTCAGAACAACTGCTGAACTTCTAAAGGCACCAACATCACTACCTGTAAAACGGTGGACACACAAACCTGCATGGGTTGCACAATGGACTTTAACCACAGAAAAACTTCAAGCTTTTGAACAGATAGTAGAGGAGCAATTAAATGCTCAGCATATTGAAGTATGAACCAACCCTTGTAATTCTTCTGATTCCTTTGTTAAATAGAAATCTGGAATATATTGAATGGTAACAGATTGGTTAATTTAAACAAATTCTTAGACGGTGAGAACGAATTAAAGAGTCTCAGGAAATTAAGAGCTGAAGTTGATAGAGATTTAGCTTTGGTGGAAAAGTATTTACAGAAGTCACATGCGGATCATGTGGATATGAATTTTACTTGGATTCTGGTCATATTATCCTCCAAGCATTACCCAACAATAATTTTAATGTAGAAAACAGGTATTATTTTAGATGGATCTTTTTATCACATAAATTGCATTAAAAATTTAAAAACTTATGTTGATAATATCTCTGAATTAATTCTAAAAGGAAAATGAAGATTTCATCAATTAGCAGAAGTAGACCCAGAGGAAATTCTAGTTCCTTTATTATTGATGAAATTGACAAATTATGGGCAGAAAGTGAACCCTGGCACAGAGCATATAGTAATGTTTTGGGATATATTAACAACAAATATCCCTCCCCCCAAAAAATTTAACTTACAAAGTTAATTAACTGCATCCTTCTTCGAATTATACGAGAAACACCAATATCTAGAGCCCCTGAATTCTACACTGATGCAAATAAATCATGGAAGGCAAGTTATAAATCACAAATTTTAAGTAAAGTATATCTAAGCCTTTATGATTCTGTCCAAAAGTCAGAATTATATACTTCTCTCATGGAACTAATGAATTTTAAAGAACCTCTCAACATAGCTACCAAATTACAATATGCAGAAAGAGCTATTTTGCATATAGAATTTATAAAAGACGATAGAGAATCAACTATTTTTTTCAGTTACAATAAATACTGATGAATAGGAATTGCCCCACATATATAGCCCACATTTGATCTTCTACAAGTATTTTTGAGAAATATCAAAAGATAGTTTTGGGTGATAATTGCAAGTTATGGTAGAAAATAAATTAGGTACAAGATTTTGGACTCACCAAGAAAGAACAGATAATGGAGAAATTTCTCTGAATTTGTCAAATGTAAATGGACTAGACATTGTTGACATACTTATTGCCTGTTTATCTTACATACTATTTTATACTTATTGTATATAGTTTTCTTATATAAGTCATATCCTTATTTTTATTTTAGACAAAAAGTGTAAATATAGTGATATTTTATTTGTGTTTTAATAAATAAAGCTTGCCTGAAGATCAGAATGCAGAGCTAACCTACTAGAGGCCAAGGAGCAGTGCTACCAAATCCACAGTCACACTGAGAAAAGATTTCTCCTTTGCATTTCTGAGACTTGGTAGAGGTAAGAACTCTCTAGTGGTTTGGCTGCTTTTCTTTTCTGATTTTCAGCTTGAACCCCAATATCTCTCTATGGGTTTTTAGTAGTCATGCTACAGAAATCAGTGTGGTAGATGCTTAGCAAAATGAGAATTGAACTAATTTAGCATGCATCTGTACCAGTTGGGCATATGTCCCAAGGATGCTTAATTATGTCAAAGAGACAGTTGCATAACCATGTTTAATCCTGCTCTATTCACAGTTTTATTATGTTAAAATCAAGTTTATCCCTTTTATTTAGACAAAAATTGGGAAATGTTGTGGAATACTCTTTTATACTATGTAAAGATATGTCACTGTGATTGGTTTAATAAAAAGCTAAATGGCCAATAGCTATGCAGGATTATGTGGCCAATGAGAATGCTGTAAAGAAGGGCAGTGAAATCAGACAGATGGGGGACAAGGCAGTCACACACCGTAAGACAGAGGTAAAAGTCATGTAATAGAACATAGATTAATCTAAATATGCTTCCTTTTAATCTATATGAGCTACTTAGGAAAAAGCCTATACTATTGTCTGAGCTTCCATTATTAATAAGAAAACTCCATGTTGTTATTTTGGAGCTGACAGGGGGGACAGAAAAATCTGCTTATAGTGAAGTTTTGAGTAAAGTATACATATATGTATGTGAATGTATGTATGTATAAGTGTGTATATATGTGTGTAGTATATTGTATTCATATGATATAGTATATATTCTATATACATATGCCTTGGTAACAATGAGAAAGCTTGTGGGAGTAATTATTAACTAATTTGGATTAAGGTCCACTCCATGGTATTGCTTGAGTTACAACAAACCAGAGAGTATGTAGCCCAAAAACCTAGGGTAGAACTAATATCAATGGTCTAAAAAAAGAAAAAAAAACTAGAACAAAATTGGAATAAAGTGAGTCATAATGATATTCTGCCATATTCATAGATCAGTCATTGCTTAGCCATCATTAGAGGTGTATCCTGCTGCGTAGGGGTATAAATATAGACACCCACAGTCAGACATTACTCAGAGAGTAAGAAAAATTGTTACATTCAGGCATGAACAGGATATGTTCATCAAATTGTTCCTCTTAGATTTCATAAAACCCTGAAGAAAAAAGCAGAAAATGTGTAAGAGCCAGAGTGGATGGAGAAAACAGGAAAAAGTCAGTCTAAATCAATGAGATCGAACCATATTTGAACAGAGACAGAATGCACAGGATATACTCAGTTTGACACCAGGTCTTCTTTGGGCATTTGCAACTTTCAGATTAGTGTTTTGGGGTATTCCTGATTAAGGGGATGAGTAGGTCTCATTAGCTCTTCTCCATCTGTTCATTTGTTGTCTCCCATTGTGATGTGTTAGTTTTTGTTTTATCTTATTATATTTATTTTATGTTTAGTAATAAAATAATATAAAATAAATACTAGATTTTGATGAGTGATGTAATTGTTTCAGAATTTTCTGCATCAATCAAAAGCTATTTTATGTTCCTAATCACTTTTCTCCTGTTTAAAATGTTTCTGTAAAAACAGTATATTGTAAAGGACTTAGGTTTTATGTTCAACATTTATGTAAGTTTTCAATGTCAATAGTTGGTGGTAAATATGACACATTGAAGCAGCTATAGCCAAATATCATTTCACAGCAACTGGGTAGACTCAATCCTAATAATGTTAAGGCCCCTATGGAAAGAGAAAGGCCAATGTCCATTCTACTTCAACCATCAATACTATCCCCAGCAATAACAAAATCATCTGTAATGTCCCAAGCATAGCCTGTGAAAAAAGACCTTTTCTAATTTCAAGAATTGGTCTCCATTTACTCCTATAAGCTAGCGGTGTTGTACATTAGGAAAAGCAATGCGCCACTTAATCTCTTCTGACAGAATCTTTAATAGTGCACACCAGTGAAAGAATGTTCAAATGGCTGCAGTACCAAGTGAAACAGAACCCAATTATCTTATTAAACCATTATAGAGGTTGTATTTATTTATCCCTGGAAGGTGCATTAAAGGAATAATGAAACTTACTTTGGTAAAGGTTACAGCATGTGCACTTTAACTGCCGTTATAAAAATAAAATGTGGAGGAGACAGGGTTAGAGGAAAGAGGACAGTCATTTTATCCTAAAAAGAAAAATAATAACTGAAATAAGATGACATTTTAACCTGCTATTTTTAAGAATGGGAAGAAGATTTTTAGCTGGAGGTAGAAAAGTAATTATTACAATTTCTATTTAAATATTAAAGTTATATTTTGAGTAAAGATTTCAAGGTGGTAGCTAAGTTCATCAACTCTGAGGTATCTGAAATAGTGTGAATTACAGAAGCTTTTTTGCTATCTTTAACATCATTTCTCCACTTCCTTTCTTCCCTCCCAACCTTTCATGTAGCCCCTTACTCTTTTTGTACCTATTGCATCCTTTTCAATAATTGCTATTTCATCCATATATATGCATATATTTTTACATACACATACTCATAAATATAACCTGTTCAGTCTCTATAATTTTATTTGTATGAGTATTTTCAGGACTAACCATTTGATACTGGAAAACATACTTCAAGTTCTCTTGCGTGATGAAGACAATTCTCCCATTATCAAAATTCTTTAGTAGCTTATAGTACTTTTTAGATGAGACTTTACTCCATCAACTTAGGCATGTTTATTATTGCTGTGTCTGTTCCACCCATATATAAGCAGTCAGGTTGATGTGACTACATGATTATTTCTTTTGACGTTACTAGCAGACACAATAGCACAGGAAGCTCTTTAAACTTATGGTTCTTTCTAACCCCTCTTGGATATGTTTTCTGAGCCTTAAGCGCAAAGGTGTTTATATGTATCTACTACGACATGGAAATCACACATTCTCAAGCAACAATGGAACATTTGTCCTTTTTCCCATAGGTGTAGTCCTCACTTCTATTCAAGATAACTTGCCTTTGCAAGGGATAGATACAATGGCAGAAATCCATAGTAGTAGCCTATTTTCTATACAAATAATCTTAATTTAGTCCTGTCCTATAGACAGCAAAAGTTACACAGAGTACACAGAGTATAAAAATCAAATAATACGTTTAGTGATAGATTGATATTGATATTTCTACATGAGTAAATAAAAATAATTTTTATGACTATATATATATATATATGTAGTGTGTATGTATATATTTATATATCCAAAATAAAGACAAACATGATTGGTGTCTTGCCTAATTATTATCAGAGAGGTTTTAATCCATCATCAGTTGAAAAGAGAAGCAGTGACCCTCAGCTAAACATCAGTCTGAGCTCATCGAATCCTACTGTAGAGAGGAAGGAAAAACTTTAGGAGCAAGTGGGGTTAAGGATATCACAAGAAATCTCTGAGAATAGCCCGCTTAGGTTTATAAGAGCTCACAGTCATTTGATAACCAGAGAGCCAGCATGGGATTGTTCTAGGACTTCTGCATATAAGTTATAGTTGTGTTGATTGGTTCTCTTGGAGGTCTCCTAGCAGGAGAAGCAGTGGCTGCCTCTCATTCTCTATTGGCTTTGGGATTCAATTCCTGATAGTGGTTTCCTTTTCCAGTCTTAATATTTTTGTTTTGCTTTTGCTATGATCAACTGAAGCATCCCAGGTCAAGGAAGAAATAAAAATGAAATTTGTCTTTCTAGAATTCAATCAGAATAAAAGTACAACTTGCCCAAATTTATAGGACACTATGAACGTCATGCTAGAGGAAACATCATAACACTAAGTGCCTACATAAAGAAAGCAGAAAAAATCTCACACTAGCACACCTGAAAGCTCTAGAACAAAAATAAGCAGACTCACCTAGGAAGAGTAAACAACAAGAAATAAATTGAGGGCAAAGCAAATTGAGTGCTAAAAACAATAAAATAGAATAAAAAAAAGAGAAAAGAATACAAAGAATCAATGAAACAAAGATCAAGTCCTTGGATAAAATCAACAGGATAGACAAGCCTTTATCCAAACCAACCAAAAGGCAGAGAGAGAATATCCAAATTAAGAATATCAGAAACAAAAAGATTTACATAAGAGACACTGAGGAAAAATCGAGATTCATTACTTCATTCTTCGAAAACCTGTACTCCACAAAATTAGAAAATCGAAAAGAAATGAACAATTTTCTGAATAGATAGCACACATCAAAATTAACTCAATGCCAGATAAACAATTTAAATAGACCTTTAACCCCTAAGGAAACAAAAACCATCATCAAGAGTCTCTCGGGGGGGGGGGGCTACAAAAACAGGATCAGATTATTTTTATTTTTAATCTTAAGAGAAAACAAACTATCTTTTTTCATTATACATACAAATCTAAGTGCCCACTCCCTCCTAACCCACAAGAATTCTGCAGTTACCCTTATAACCAAACCACAAAAGGACTCAACTAAGAATTACAATCCAATCTCTCTCATAGACATTGATGCAAAAATACTGAAAAAAATTCTGATGAACTGAATGTTGATGTCTCATGAGTTTTCTACTTTCCAGATTTCATTCATTCTACTAAGCCATTCACTCTTCTATACCTTTTCTATGTTGGCATAAATAAAAGAATAATCACACATTCAGGGCACCACTAAAAACACCTGTAACCCAAGAACAGTTAAGTGAGCATAGATTACATAACCATCCGTAGAAACTGGCTATCTCCCTTTGTATCAAGTAAAATATTCGTTTATAGATTCATATGTTTTTATTCGTGCCATGAAGGAAATATAAAAAATAAAATATTTTTGGTTGTGAGCCTAGCCTTTAACGGCTAAGCCATGGTGGCGCACGCCTTTAATCCCAGCACTCGGGAGGCAGAGGCAGGCGGATCTCTGTGAGTTCGAGACCAGCCTGGTCTACAGAGCTAGTTCCAGGACAGGCTCCAAAGCCACAGAGAAACCCTGTCTCGAAAAACCAAAAATAAATAAATAAATAAATAAAAATAAAAATAAAAAATAAAATAAAATATTGTAGCTTCCTGCTTCATACTTTATATTTGAAATGCATTACAGGTATTTTGCTCAATTATCCTTTTTAAAGCAAATTATGTCCTTGGCTCCCTGGAAAGACATGATCCACAGTTTTACCTAGTTGCTTTTATTTTATTTTATTTTTGTGTGTAGGATTGAAATCTTGAGAGCTTTTCTTGCCCACTTTCAAAGTCTGTTGTTGTTTTTCCAGGTCAGCTCACATTGGTGGTCATTTTGGTTGAGATTTTATGGTTTTAGCTTCTGACATTACTATGAGACAAAATATTACAGAAAACATCCTCTAAATCGTATGATAATTATGCCCCTCTTTTATAATGTTCTTTGAGCCATCAGTGCTGCATTGTTTTACAGGCTTATCAACCAGGACTTGGGTCCACAATCTGCTTTTTGATATTTTGCTTGCTCTACTCATCTCCATCTTTTGTAAAAAGAGGATTCCTT